TAACCCCACTCGAATTGTATGACTGTTGTGTTCTTAAATGATGTAGTGTCTTTATGTTGTAAATTGTTTGTCCTTCCCCCCGCCTTTTGAACTGTGAGCCGCCCTGAGTCCCCCCAGGGAAAAGGGTGGCACACAAATAAAGTGACTATGACTATGACTACGACTAGGTTGAATGAGGGTTAACAATATGATAATCGGCCAAGCAAGGTATAGTTGCACATAAAGAATACAGGTAATCCTCCACTTATGACCACAATTGAGCCCAAAATTTCTGTTGCTAAGTAAGATATTTGTAAAGTGAGTTTTCCCCCTGTTTTACAACTTTTCCTGCCACAGTTGCTAAGTGAATCACTGTAGTTGTTAAGCTAGTAACACGGTTGTTTAATGAATCTGGCTTTCCTACCGATATTGCTTGGGATCACATGACCCCACGACACTGGAACCGTCATAAATATGAGTCAGGTTCCAAACATCTGAATGTTGATCATGTGCCTATGCGGATGCTGCAACGGTCGTAAGTGTGAAAAACAGTCCTGCCACTTTTTTCAGTGTTGGAACTTTGAACAGTCACTAAATGAACTGTTGTACATCAAGGACTACCTGTAATAACTTTATTCTATTCTACTCTGAACGGTCACTAAATGAACTGTTGTAAGTTGAGGACTACCTGTAGTAACTTTGTTCTATTCTACACAACTTCCAGTGCTGTGCCCAGTTCTGGCCACCATACTCTAAAAAGGATTCCCGAATTGGAAGAGGGAAATGAAGGTAAAGGGACTATAAATTGAAACAAAATGAGGAAACTGGAAATGCTCATCCCTAAGAAGAAAAGACCAAGTGAAAAATGATGGCATTTTTCAAGTACCTTTGAAGGGCATCAGAGAAAACCACAATTTACTCTCCCTGAGTAGAGACATAGAAAAACAGTCTTAAGTTATAAGAAAGTGGTTTTTAAATCATCTTAAATGACAAGAAAGCAGTTTTTAGTTCAGTGATGGAAAAAATATTCCATGAATAAGAACAACTAAACAGCAGAATCAACTACCAAAGGAAATTATAGCACCTTGTGAAGGAAATAACTTCAAGCAGAAGCTGGCACACCTTTGGTGTGGATCCTGTAATTTGGAGTTTTACACTGAGTAGGCACCAGACTAAATAACTCTTTCCAATTGTTTTATTTTAACTTCCTTAGCCAATTCTTGCTCCTTTCAACCCCTCCTTCCATTATGTACTGGGACTGGAATGAGACCACAGACAATGATTCTAGTTTTGAGTCAAAGAAAAGCACATTTCATAAGAACTAATATATAAGGTCTATTCCAATCTGTAAAAGCTCCAAACCATCATAGATTGGCTTTGCATTTATTGTGATAAATGCATTGTATACCATGTTGTGGTAATTAAGAAATAAAGAACACAATGACGGTATTAGCATTTACTTAACCATTCAAAGAAAATTAAGAAGCTTCTTGTATTATATTCCTTAAGCCCAAACAAACTGAAAGTAGACAAATGCAATGGTAACAGCTTTGTTGGCTGTACACTCAGATAGATACACACAAGCATAGTGAAACTTCTTCAAAGGTAAGCAGGTGTTTAGTTTACTCTTAGAGGAAGTACATCCTGTAGTGGTTTCCTCTTTGTCTCTAATGAGAGCAGTAGCAATAGCACTTAGACTTATTTGCTGCTTCAAGTGCTTTGCCATCCACTCTAAATGATTTACAGAGTCAATATATTGCCCCCAACAATCTGGGCCCTCATTTTACCGACTTCGAAAGAATGGAAGGATGAGTCAACCTTGAGTCGGTGAAAGTCGAACTGTTGTTAGTCAGCAGAATTAGCCTGTAATACTGCATTCTAACCACTGTGCCACCACAGCTCACAATCCACATCAATCATACCAGGAAGACAAAACTGAGTTGATATGGACAGCCTTGCTTCTAAAACAACAGGGACAACCTCTTGTACACAAACTAAACTAAAAATTTAGGTTTTTTTTAGCTTTAGTTAGAAAAAAAAACTAAGATGCAACATTGTTTTCAGTCTTTCTATCCTTCTTACATTGCTACTGGAAAGGCATTAAGACATTTCCAAAGTCAAGACAAGAAGAGAAGAAATGAGGAGAAGGTGATATTACAAAATATCAAACAATAGCAGAAGAGAGAAGAGAGAGAGGAGGGAGAGAGAGAGAGAGAGAGAGAAGAAAAAAGAATAGGATATGCATAAAATTTGGCTTTTCTGTTTAACAATATTGTGTGTTTGATTTGTAAACCATATTTAATGCATTAAGCCATACAAATCATAAGGTGTTTAATCATCCCTATGTGTTGTTTTTTTCAAATTACAAATTAAACAGTACTGGTATCGGTGTTAAAAGATACAAAAATTGACTGGAGTTTTACAAAAATTTTGAAAGAAAACATTGAAAAAAGAAAGATTGATTTTCAAACTCAAGGCACCAACAAGGTTAAAAATCAGAAGCATCTAAACATCACTCCCAATTATAAGTGTTCAGGAGTTATAAAAATCACTCAATGATATCTGAAGTTAACAAATTAGACTACAGAAGCGTAAACAGATTCACAATGTTGCTTTATCCATTTTATTTCTCAAATAGCCTCTTAGACACTTAGTATTTGAGAAAGGATGCTCTTAGGGTGACAAGAATCATAGGTTCTATTTCCTTTGCTTCATTAAAATTTTCTTTTATAACAAAAAGCATCAGACAATTGTTAGTAACATATGCTCAAAAGTAAAAGTCCACAAATAAACAGTATGTTATATTAAAAAGTTTTAAAATGATGTCAAAGGACATATAGATACACAATGTAAGTGTTCAAAACAAAGTCTATTTTTTCAAGATAAAGGTTCCTAAAAGCACTAATCTGTATACTAACAAAAATCATAATGTTCTCAAGCTTGTTCACACCTGAACTTTCATCATATTTTATAGCAATAACATATGAAGAAGCCCCTTCAAACCACACATGGGAAAATACTTCTTTAGAGTATCTCAGATAAAAATGTTTTTAAAATTCTAGCCATTCCTACATTAATCTGGGATTTATTGCACTTGGGTTAACCAAACAAAGTTTATGTACTGTTATGGCTATTTTACGCTTAACCATGTTCTAACAATGTAAATGAGCAACACATTCATAATTTATCACAAGTTCTCAAAGATTGTATTAAAAACAATAGGAATAAACTATTTGTAGAGGACAATGGAAATAGCTTAAGGTGGATAGTTAAAGCTCACCTTGTTCATATCTAAATTAAATATGGAGCATTTAAAAGTTTATATTACTTATTTTATACAACCAGTATAATGGTTGGTTATTTTAGGCATTTCCACAGTTTCCAAAAGGTCTATTTAAATTATTTTTTGTTTCCTCTATATATTGAAAACACTAAAGACAGAGCAGTTTTTTTTTAAAAAAAAATGCAATTAATTATCACTACATAGTTAGTAACTGCACAATATTTAACAATTTCATCCATCAAATCCTGACTTAATTCCTGAATTTATAATGAAATGAAAAATCTAGTTGAAATGTTTCTGAGCTGCAAAAAGTTAAAATGCATTAAATCTTTTTTTCTTTTTAGCTCTGGTGGTGATAGGCAGTTAATAGGAAAACTAAAAAAAAAACCAACGCTATTGCAATGTATCACTTCAAACTCCAAATGGCAAAAGGCGGATGTAATATTAAAAGAAACAATGAGAAAGATTATTTAGTGTAGGGCTATACCAATTATTTATTTCCATTTAATCTTGCTTAAAAAAAAATATTGCCTTAAATCCACAAGTCTTAAATTGCCTGCTTCACTTTGCTTTCTGCTATAACATTTCAAAATAAACATACAAAAGGATTAGGCTGTATATCCTATTAAAACCTGTTGTATTAGTTTTAAGCAAACATCCTTCAGACAAAATTGCCTGCCAATTTACCACTAATAATCTTATAAATTATCATAGTTTGATGTATAGGTAAAAACAAACGTACAGAACCACTTCACTTTCAATGATAAATACATGATAAATGTGGTGTTCCAACCTCATAGCTTTTATTTTTAAGCTATGCATTGTGGGCCTGTAAACTGAAGGTCTCCATTTATTTCCATACTCATGAAAAAGTTATGAATTAATCTGATATATGTTATCAGAAAATAATCCATGATCTCAATATTCCAGGGAAGTACATCAATATGGCTTTACCATGAACAAGCATACAAATTTAAGGACATAATCTCACATACACACAGAGAGAATGTAATCTATTGGAAGCCTTTCCTACATAACAATACTGAAGCTCCAGAGGAAAGCTTCCTCTACATAACTTCCACACAATTTAGCAGAGCTTTTGGGGAAAAATAAATGTTGTTTGTAATATTTTGGAAATGACCCTATGCATGTTAAAATTGAACTTGCATAATCCTGGTGCATTGGAGACTGTGCTCTTCAAGTTATATATATAAAGGGGAAAAATCTGACTGTACCAAGCTGAAAATATTTAATTTACAGCATGGAGATCAGTTTTACATTAAATCTAAAATGCTTTACTAGGAGAAGCATGTCACTTCTCTGGTTTTTTTGTTTTTTTGTTAATACCACACAGAATAACTTGGGTGTGTAGATAAGAGGGTGTTAGTAAATTAATACTGGTCCTTCATTTCTCCAATGAAAGCAAAGTGAAGCAGAAAACCTAAATGCAATAGCTGAGCTAATTTCACAATTACAGATCTAAATAGTTAATTTAAATAGCACTGTAGGCACGCTTAAATTTTCCCATAAAAATACATTAGGGTAAATATGGCTTTCTAAAACAAAAAAGCAAAGATCTTTGTTTTCATTCCCATCTAGTTAATTCAGGTCTAGCTGCATTACTGCAAATATATTTCACAACAGCTTAAGGATACCCACCCCTTGCTGACAGCTTTTTAGTGTTGATAATTTTGGCAGCATATTCTTGTCCTGTAGTGATTTTCAGGCATCTTCTCACCACTGAGAAAGCTCCCCTAGAAGTCAATAAACAAGAGTAACATAAATGCCAGTTTGGGGTATGCTACTTAACCATCTAATAATCTGAACAGCGTTAAGAAACAAGACAATAAATACATATTTTTTTAATAATTGCTTTAATTTGGGGTTTTTGCAATGGATTTAAATTGTAAGGAAAAGGTATCTTCTTCAAATATATTGAATGCATGCGCCTACAACAGTAAGTGGCTACCAACCCCAGAATTGTGTTTTCACACCCATTCTGTGTTTTACTGTGCTTCCATTCAAAGGCGTGTATGCACATATTTTTTGCAGGGCAGAATGTGGTTACATTTTATCCATTTTCCTCCTCTTCTCCGATATTAACAGGCATAACACCCATTCTATTTAAACTCAAGCTTCCACGGAATGGCCTGGATGCCATAAATCTCACTGCCACTACCTACAGTTTTAAGCACGAGCATTCATGTGCAATTCCCTTGCAGAGCGAGCACGAAAATTAGGCTGCTCTCAATGACTGGCTCCCAACGCTAATCCCCCGCCTGCCATTGGTCAAGCATTTTCAAGTCGTTTATATAACAGACTTTAGATAGCACCCCATTGATGGGAGGGTTTTTGTTTTGTTTTGTTTTGTAAGGAAATACAGTAATGAAAAAAAAAAGAAACGAGAGGAGGGAGCCGATGGTTTAACTCCGAATTGCGCTCTTCTTCCCCTGAAGAAAATGCACCTCTGGGTGACATTTCCTGGTCCTTAAACGTGGGTCAAACCTCCCGCCGCCCACGCTGCTTGTCGATTACCGCCGTTCGAACGGACGTCCGAATGCAAAAGCCACCCACGCTGCCCAAGGACCAATTTCGTCATCGGCGATTCTCCCTAGGATCATGTGTCCCTTCCACTTTACGGAGAGGCGAGCAAGGTGGGGAAAAATCCCGCGTCAAAACCCTGCTCCGGACAAGACCGGCCGCTGCAAGGGCTGACAGCCCGTAAGAAAGCGGATGAGAGAGCGGGAAGATCTGCCAGGAGTGGATCGCACACGACACACACACACACAGAGAAACACGCCCTGCCGCCCGGGCTGAACTTTACGCGTCAATAAACGAGGCAGCAGCTCCCGGTCGGCAGCTTCACGCCGAGCAAAACGGGCGAAAAGCAGACGACCTTTTCCCTGAGTATTCGCGTTCCCCTCCCTCCGCCCGGCCACCAGCCCAGCTCGGGCTCCCGCAGCTCAGGCTGCCGGCCCCGAAAGAAGCCAAGAGGCGCCGCTGAAGAGCGCGCTATCCCCTCCGCGAGGGGCGACCCAGGGGCAGGGCTCGACCCAGCGCAGCTCCCCGGCGGGCGCGCCATTCCTCTCACAGCTGTCAAAGCTCCTTCTTCCCCACCCCACCGCCCCAAAACCCCTCCGGCCGCCGCTGGCTAGGGCGAGCCCCTCGGCGGGCTTTTGGCCACTTACTTCCCAAGCTCCTCAAAGAGCTGATACTCGTCGGTAAACCTGGTGCAGGTTGCGGTCGAAGCCATCCTCTCGGTCCGGCTCTGGCAGCCCCCTTGACGCTTCCGAAGGAAGGAGAGAGGACGGCGGAGGGAAGGTGGATTCAAGCAAAGGGGGAGGCGGTCAGGACGGAAGATGGGAGGGCAAAGGCTGCTTCTTCTTCTCCGCCTCCTTCTTTTCCTCGGGGCGAGTCTCTGTCACGCTCCTTCTTGGCAGCTTCCTGAGACTTTTCCGGCTGGCTTGTTTGTTTGGGAGGCGAGCCGGAGGGGAGGCAGAGGCGGGCTTCTCCGCGAACTTCCCTCGGGGTGTCCGTGTGTGTGTTTCTCTCTCTCTCTCTCTTTCTCTCTCTCTCACGCTTCGGGGGTCTCTCCGGGAAGAGCCCTGGCTACGTTTCCATCCAAAATGGAAACTCGGAGCCGCCGAGAAAAGGCTGGCGCTTTACGCGGAGGAAGCAGCAGCAGCCGCAGCCCCCGGGCGGATTTAACACCAGGGAACGGGACGAAGCAGAGGCGGGGGAGGATGGCAGCCTTGGCCCTGGCTGTTTCGGGCAACCTCCGAAGCCCGCCCGCTGTCAAGACCGCCTCTTTCTGCCGGGAGTCCCCCGAAGCGCCCTTTCCCGAGGGCTGCCTCGCCAGCGGCGCCTCCGGGGACTCTCGCGCTCGATCCAAGGCGAGGGAAGCCCGAGCGGCAGCTTGTCTTTCTCTCTCGCTCTCTCTCAGCAGCCGTTGCCTTGGTGGGTCTGGCGGCCGCTTCCTCTCCTTTTCTCTCTATACCACACCTCCCTCTAGCGACGGGTGGACGAGCCCCGTTGCTGGGCTGGACGAGAGCGGAGCAAAGCAGCCGCCGATCTTCCCGGCTTTCCCTTTATGTCTCTCTATACCGACTGCGGAATGTGGTGTGCTATAGGTTTTTTGTGGCGAGTTCCATGAGCGCCCCCTCCCTCCCCGATTCTTTGTTCCAAGACGTGGGAATGAGCGAACGTGTGAACGCTTTTTTTTTGCCAAGGAGATCGCCTGTAAGGAAAGACTTGGCAATAACGGGGGCCGGCTAAGGAAGAACCGCCGGGCCAAGGCAATCCTTTTGCATTTGAGTTGCCTTTACCGCAGGGCTTCGCCTTTACGGAACGACTTTCAGCCCGCCAATCGCCCGGACTTAGGAAGCAGGCGACGATCCCAAGCGGGTTCTACTCCCAGGCGGTAGGAGGGGAAGCGTCCCCGCCCCTCCCCTCTCCTCCGCGTTCCAATCCTCGGCGTCACAATCGACGCCAGGCCTCGTGCGCTCCATCCGGCCACTCTCTGCTTGGAAGCGAAAAAGGGAGGAGAGGAGAAGAGAGCAGCGCCGCTTCCCCGGTTCTCGCGAGACAGCCCAGCCTATTTTTATGGAAGTGGGGGCGCTTGGCTTGGCTTGAGCTGTGAACGAAGAGGAAGGAGGATGCGCTGCTGGAGGCTATCTTGGTTACCTGGGCGCTGCGTTTAAAAAAAATGGAAGTCTTAATTTAAAAATAAAATAATAAGTTCTGCGTTTATACTTTATAGGAATAAGAGCGTGTCGAGATAAGCACATAGTCGGCATGCCACATTTTCACACGCGGGGAAGCCTCCCACTCGAAAGGATTCCGAGTCACGTCCTTCAAGCTTAGATTAGAAGGCTGCGTGTGATGCCGGTACTGTATGATTTTAGACGCGACACGGTAAAAACCTTCCGCATAATCCGTGCAAACGAGGGTGCAGATAAATGGTGGGGGGGGGGGGATACCTCGCCGAAGTCCATGAAAGCAAAGGACAAAACGGGGATTGGAACCAAAATAGGGGATTCCAGTGTCCTTCCCTTTGCATATCGATGCGATTTGGGCTTACACACCATTCTCTCTTGGTCAGCCCGATTTAAGATACTGCCTTGCTTTCTAAAGTTCCAATGTCTGCTCTTCGTTGAGGAAGCGGAGCCCCGGTCGAAGGTAGTATTCCACACTTCAGAAATTCCCACAGAAATTCCTCAGCCTCGCCCAGTTCATTCATCCTCTTTCCAACTGACGCCAATATTTTTGAATAGGGAATATGATACTGGATTTACTTAATTTGTGGAAATTGTCTTTGATTATGATTATGACTTACTGAAGCTAATAATGATTTTTTAAAATCTATATTCGAATCCTCCTGTTGTGTATCAGTACAGCTTGTGGGTTTCATTCCTGTTGGGGTGTGTGTGCATATTTTCATGAATTATGGCAACACTTCCTTCTGGCATTGAAGTCATGTTTCCTGGAGCCTTTCATTGATAGTAAAGCAAGATCGTAAAATAAAATAAAAATCTTTACATTCTACATATGGGTTCAAATCAAGCCTATCAGGTCAAGCTTATAGATATCAAGAGAAAGGACATTTTAATTACAGAAACAGACAAAAAAACATCAATAAATATGAAATTATAAGAAAACTTCCATTTCAGTGCAGTGCACTGTAATTTTATTGTTTCAAGCAGTCTACATTTTATACAGAACTTATTTTTAGAATGTAATGATGACAGTGTAGGAAGTTATCACCCAGCCCTCTCCCAGAAAAATAAAATATCCTAGGAAATATTGAAAAGGCAGAATATTTCTCTGGATGTGAAAAGAAAGAAGCATGTTTTAAAAGACAGAATAGCTGCCTGTAGCTTCCTGCCCATCCCCACTTTGTCAATGGGCCATTAAGAAGGCCAAGCTAGTCCCTTTACTTCTCCACTCAAACTCCAGAGTGATGGGATTAATACAGTGTTTCTCAACCTTGGACTTCAAGTCACCAAGGTTGAGAAACACTGTATTAAGGCATGATAATATTGGCCCTTTACTCAACTGACCACATGGCATCTGAGGACTCAACCAAACCTGGATTCAAAACGCAGCCTAGAGAGTTGCCCCTGCATGGTCCCATGCGAGTCTGACAACCAATCAGAATAGAAGCTCAAGATCAAAGGCCAAAGAGGGCATAAAACCAGGGACTCAGCATCTGAGTCCTTCCTTCTCTTCTTCTCCACCAACATTGAAGCACGTGATCACCCTTTCTGTTCAGGGCTCAAGCCATGTGGTCCTGTCCACCAATAAACCAACTTTCCAAGCAGCCTCCATGTCTCTCTTTCTCCACTTGGAGCCAAACCTAGAAGGACATTTCTTTCATCAACAGAATGAACACATTTATCAAATTATGGGACCAATCAACTTAATGATAATTTTAGGGCATGTATGAGACATTGTTTAATATTGTGGTACTCTGTGTGTTTATAATTAAAATATAGGAAGATAAAATATTGCAAACCATTAAGTTATTGCCTTATTTGTACAGTCTTAAATGGCCATGACTTTTGAATAATTTGTGCTAATTGGCAAAGGACATTCAGACTATAATTTTATTTTGCAAATGTTCTGTCTCCTCTTAATCATTAGTATAAATGGTTACCAAAGGAAAAATACAATCCATAACGCAACACATCCTGGACATAAATTGTTTCAATTTCTATCCTTAAAACGACGCTATAGGGCACTGCACACCAGAACAACTAGACATAAGAACAGTTTTTTTTCCCCCAAATGCCATCACTCTGCTAAACAACTAATTCCCACAACACTGTCAAATTATTTACTAAGACTATTACTATTATTCTTTTCCTTCCTAATATCTATCTCTTCCCACTTATGACTATAACCATATTGCTTGTATCTTTACTATTTATATTATTTTATTTGTTTCCTAGTATGATTTGGTAGCTTATTAGTAACACATGAATATCACTAAGTGTTGTATCTTATGATTCTTGATGAATGTATTCTATTTATTTTTCTTTATGTACCCTAAGAGCAGATGCACCAAAGACAAATTCCTTGTGTGTTCAATCACACTTGCCCAATAAAGAATTCTATTCTTTTTTTTTTTAAATGTTCAGAAAGGAAAGCTTTGCCAGGAATGTTTTTAGCAACATCTACGAGATTAAAATTGATAAAACACATTTGCTAGATCTTGTTTTTATTGTCAAATGGATCCAGCCAACACCAGAGAGTTAAGACAATTTCAATAAAGTGTCTGATCATTAGGTATGTGCAGTGTAAAAAATAATAATTAAAAACTTTAGAAAAAATATCAATGAGAAATACTGTTACAAAAAATAACCATACATAAAATGGTTAAATACAATAAAGTCCCAGAATCCTGAGAAATATGTTGCTTGCAATTGTTGTGGAATGAAATACCTTCTGGTAAAAGATCTATTCTCCTATCTGAGGATGGTGGTAGAATATAATATGAATGAGATGAAATGCTTTGAAATATCTCAAAGAAACTTTGGCACTGGGTAAGTGAGAAACATTTTAAATGCCTCCTTAGTGCCTTACATTTTTACTTCTCACTGTAGTCTAAAATGAAACAATATCATTGTCATCATAATTCAGTGTTGACTACTAAAATGCAATGCTGCAAATAATCTCAGAATACTGTAATTAAAACATCAGATTTTAAAGTATGTATCAAGAATGAATCCCTCCAAAGTAAAGGTGGGTGTTTTATGTGTTTTATAACTAAGCGCCAACATTTTATCTCTGGGCTTTATTTTTATAAAGTTCAATTAAAGAGACATGTCTGTAAATATAGCTGCAATCTAAGTTTGCATGGCCCTAAAAGTCATGTTAACATATAATAGATTTCAAGGGCACTAAATTACAGAAATTACCAGTTTGCTGGCATAGGTGGAAAAAAAATCCTTTAATTTTTATTGTTGTTTATCTCTGGGATTAACAATTATTTGTTAATTTATTGTTTGTTATCGCTAGGATTAACAACTTTGATATTTATGGCAATATTTACAAATGATTTATGAATATTATCCTATAATAGGTTATTGACTTTTAGGAAGTTTTTTGTCCTTTATATAGCCTCATAAATTCTGGCATTGATCAACATGTCAAAGAAGTGGGTGGCTGTATTAAATCATCATCATCATCATTACTTCAAGGGTAAATTTGTACAATTGGGAATGTCAAATAGCATAGGGCAGTGTTCACAAATATTTTCCTAGTGCGTTGACATCATAACTACACTATATGTTAAAAAAATAATTTTACATCCAAATTTATCTTCTTTAAAATAGGAAGTCATTAGATTCTATTTTTGTTTGATTGTTCTGGCTTTATCAATTTCAGAGAAGCATGTGCTTATGGCAATGGCCGTAAATTGAGTTTTAGGCTAATTTACACTGCTACTGATACCATAATTGCTACCTATGTATCTGTTTGAAAATATTGGAGAAAGGGATGCAATTACTATGTTAGTAGTACCTACAATCCTGGGGATTCGTCAACAGTTAGATCACCGTTGACATCTCTCTGTAAAGCTAAGAATCTCATTTTCTGAAGTTAATCTAGGTTTTATAATCTCAAAATAAAATTAAACTAAACAAATGCTGGAGCATCACTTATTAACATGTATGAATAACTTTTAATTGGGAATCCAGGTAAATGCTAAAGGAAGCTCCAAATTCAGGG